GTGGGCTCGATCCCCAGTAGGGAGCGTGCAGGAGGCGGCCGATTAGCGATTCTCTCTCATCAATGATGTTTCTTTTTTTCTTCCCTTTTTCTATGTATATATATATTTTTATTGATTTCAGAGAGGAAGGGGAAGGGAGACAGAGAGAGAAACATCCACGATGAGAGAGGATCATGGATCGGCTGCCTCCTGCCCACTCCACCTACTGGGGATGGAGCCTGCCACCTGGGCATGTGCCCTGGCGGGGAATCGAAACAGTGACCTCATGCCCTAACCGGTTTGGCTCAGAGAATAGAGCGTCGGCCTGCGGACTCAAGGGTCCCGGGTTCAATTCCAGTCAAGGGCATGTACCTGGGTTGCGGGCACATCCCCAGTAGGGAGTGTGCAGGAGGCAGCTGATTGATGTTTGTCTCCCAAAGATCTTCGTTAATGACAAGAGCCCTCCGGTCCTGTCCACTTCTCCTTCGCTTCTCACACCCTGACTGTATTTCCTATTGCTTCTCGGGGCTCACCTGAGTTTCTATGCGACCTTGTGATATCGAGCTTGCTTTCTATTGCGGACGAATGAGGAATGACTTTACCGAGCAGGGAAAAAAGGCACCATGAATATCTGGTTATTATTTGTTGAGAAACACCTTACAGCCCTGGCCGGTGTGGCTCAGTGGAGAGAGCGTCGGCCTGCGGACCAAAGGGTTCCGGGTTCGATTCCGGTCAAGGGCACGTACCACGGTGGCAGGATCTTCCCCGGCCCGGGGCCTGGTCGGGGCGTGTGCAGGAGGCAACCCATCGATGTGTGTCTCTCACATCGATGTTTCTCTCTGTCTTTCCCCTTCTCGTCCACTCTCCCTAAACAAAAAAAATCAATGGAAAAACATCCTCGGGTGAGGATCAACACCACCACCGCCTGCGATTCCTCGGAAGATGCAGCGCACTTTTACAAACGCGAGAGTAGGAACCATCGGGTTACGTACGTGTGACTTCCTGCAAGAAATCCAAACACGGCCGCCCGCTGCCGGAAATGCTGAGCGAAACCGCCAGCGGGGTCTGCCCTTCGTAGTTCCTCGTGTTCGTGTCCGCCCCGTAACTGTACAACATCCGTGCGCAGAGCACGTCGTCGCGGAGGGCAGACAGGTGCAGGGGCGTCTGGCCGTCCTCCAGGCGGCCCAGGTTCGTGTCGGCCCCGCGCTGCAGGAACATGCGGCAGTACGAGTGGTTGCTCTTGATGACGGCGTAGCGCAGCAGGAAGCCGTTCTGGATGTCGATGTTGGCGCTGTGGTCCAGCAGGATCTTCACGCAGCTCGAGCGCTCCCGGATGATGGCCAGCTGCAGCGGCGTCGTGCCCTTGTCGCTGAGCGGGTCCACCTCGGCCTTGAACTCCAGCAGGAGGCGGACGAACGAGTCCCGGCCGTAGTGGGCGGCCACGTGCAGGGGAGTCCAGCCGTCGTTGCTCTTGGCGTTGATGATGTCGCTCCGGTACTCGGACTCCAGCATCAGGCGCGCGATGCGGGCCCGGCCGTGCATGGCGGCGTAGTGCAGCGCCGTGAAGCCGCCGATTAAGTCCTTGACCGTGGGGTCAGCTGCGGTGGAAACCAGAACGGATACATCAGCAGGCGCCCGGACAAAACAACCAGCCCTCCCCACAGCAGAGCCCGCGGGCGCCAATTCTCACACAGGATGTGGAAGGATTAGACATCGCAGCCAACGTCAAGCAGCACGTCTTTCCTCGGTTTAACTGAAGTCAAGGGTTTTTAAAAAATATATGGTTTTATTGATTTCAGAGAGGAAGGGAGAGGGAGAGAGAGACAGAGTCATCAATGATGAGAGAGAATAATTGGTCGCCTGCCTCCTGGCCCCCTGTTGGGGATGGAGCCCGCAACCTGGGCATGTGCCCTGACCGGGAATCGAACCCTGACCTCCTGGTTCATAGGTCGACGCTCAACCACTGAGCTGCACCGGCTGCGCTGAAGTCAAGTTTTGATGAAAAATGAAGTTTGATAGAAAGTGATCAACTCTGGTTAAAGAAGTTTTTAAAAGATATATATACGCCCAGCTGGTGTGGCTCAGTGGTTGAGCACTGACCTATGAACCAGGAGGCCACGGTTCAATTCCTGGTCAGGGCACATGTCCAGATTGCGGGCTTGATCCCAGTAGGGGGCGTGCAGGAGGCAGCCGATCCATGATTCTCTCTCATCATTGGTATTTCTTTCTTTAAAGATTTTATCTATCTATTTATTTTATTATTATTATTTTTTTTTGCTAATCCTCACTCGAGGATATTTTTTCCATTGATTTTTAGACAGAGTGGAAGGGACGGGGAGAGACAGAGAGAGAGAGAGAGAGAGAAACATCAATGTGAGAGAGATACTGAGACACATCGATTGGTTGCCTCCGGGATAGAGCCTGCAACCAAAGGTTATGTGCCCTGGATCGGAATTGAATCCGGAACCCTTCAGTCCACAGGCTGACGCTCTAACCACTGAGCCAAACCGGCCAGGGCTCATCACTGTCCATTTCTATTTCTCTCTCTGAAATCAATAAAAAGATTTTTTTTTTTAAAAGATAGATATATAAAACATAGAGCTGAGACCACCATGTCCGTTTGCTAACTGAACCCACTGCTTCTGGCTGCTCCAGCTCCCCCATCTCTGAATTGTTTTCATGCTTCTCTTCGCCTTTAACTTTCTGTTTTATTTTCTCTTGTGCTTCTTGGTCTTAAAGAGAAGCATGTGTAGCAACATCTGCGGCTCTAAATTACGGATGTACTGTGGTCTGGCAGACGGCGTTGTTTTAAGGGTGTATTAAGTGGGGGGAAAAAATAAAGTTGTTTTTTTTTCCCTGTGGTCTGTAAAAATTCCAAAGCACGTTAGATATATGTTAAGCGATCTGGACAAATCAGGTTCTCGTAAGATGAACGTCTACTCTGAATGCTTGGTTTTACGAGAACTTTGGAGTCTGTAAGAATGAAATGGCGCGCCGTGTGAAAATCGGGAAGCAACTTTAGCGCCGTGTAAATATTATTTTGTACGACAGTTCCAAAGCTCTCTCCGAAATGGAATGCTTTCTGCGGGCGGGGTGGAAGAGAGAAAGAAAGAAAAAGAAACGCCAGTGATGTATCTGCTGTGTCACTCCTCAGTCACAAACGTTGTCACCTGGCCCAGCGGCTCCTTGAGCCAAAGGGGAAGTTCTCTGTAGCTCTCATCCCACGGGCATTCCTGGCACCGTCTCCCGGAGAACGTAGGCCACTTCCTGGAGGCCCGCAATTCCTCGTGAAGATAAACTGGTCAGACCTAACTACCTGGGATTCAAAGGCTTTCTCCTTGCCCTGGCCGGTGCTGCTCAGTGGTTAGAGCTCCGGCCCTAGGACCGAAGGGTCTCGGGTTCAATTCCGGTCAAGGGCACGTTCAGGTCCTCCAGACCCGGTTGGGGCATGTGCAGGAGGCAACCAATCGATGTTTCTCTCTCACATCGATGCTTCTCTCTCTCTCCCTCTCCCTCCCTCTAGGAATCAACGGAAAAAATATCCGGGGGTGAGGATTTAAAAAAAAAACACACAAAGGTTTTATGCTGATAAAAGTCACCCTTAATGTCTGGTTTGGCCACGAAAGAGAAAAATTCATGAGTGCTTTTTCAAACAACGAAACAGAAAGCCTCCAAAGTTGTGTGAGCAGACATTTGTGTATTGTCTAGCAAAATGTTATTTCCTGCTAAAACGTGAGAGCTGGGTCTCTGGGAAAATTCTATGAAGCAGAAAGCTCCATGGAAAAGAATGAGATTACGGAGAATGAAAGTTTCAGTTAAGAAGTAGTTGCTCACAGAACCTGTAAAAAGTTAAGACTCTTACTAAGTAAAGTATACCAGTTAAATTTCTAAAACCATTAAATACAAACGAACAGTGCACAACAGTAATAGAGTATCCTGCCTCTGCTGGTCTTCGCTAAAAGAAAAATAGATAGCAACTCTGTATTATGCGACTTAAAAATAAATGAGGGGAGCGTGTTTTTTTTTTAACAAAGCGTCTTGCTGCCACCTGCTGGTCATGCCAGGAACGTCAGCTATGACCTGCCCACTCTGACAGGATGCTGAGCCCTCCATCCTGCTTCCCATGCCTCCCTTACCTAAAGCAGCGAAGTGGAGACAGGCGTGAAGGAGAAAAGAACCCCTTCGATCCAAATGAAACCGTCACTGTGGCCAAGGCGCCCGTCTCTAATCTCTACCTGACCAAGCAACAGCTGCCTGCTCGGTTAGTGAGACGTTACGAATACCTTCCATTTCTCCCACTTTTCGTCCACTCTTACGCGCATCCTAGACTTGCTGATTCGACAGTAAAATGAAAATCATGTTATGTGAGACTGCACTTGGGGCTTTGGTTTTCCACTCTGGGTCTTCGCCAGGTTTTACTTACGTTTTGGTGTTAACGCAGAGCTGGGAGAAACCATGATTAACACACAGAGCAAGGATCTGCTTAGCCTCAGTAAAAACCGTAAAAATATACTGGCTGTGCACACGCGGAAAGCAGCACAGAATATAGAGCTTTAAGTAACAATGCATGAACTTTGCATAGTTACTGTCCTTGAGGAATTAACAAAAGGAAGATCTAGACAGATGAAGATGCAAACAAAATCGAGTTTAAGGATTACTGTTAGCCAGTGCAGTAAGAAAGAGATCTCATTTGTAATAGTAACAGAAACGATAAAAACACCTAGAGCCCCAGATGGTGTGGCTCAGTGGATAAAGCATCAGCCTGCGGACTGAAGGGTCTCGGGTTCGATTCCAGTCAAGGGCACATGCCTGGGTTTCGGGCTCCATCCCCAGTAGGGGGGCGTGCAGGAGGCAGCTGATCAATGATGTTTCTCTCTCTCTCTCTTCCTCTCCCTTCCTCTCTGAAATCAATAAAAACATATCAAAAAAATAAATAAAGAAAAACACCTCGATATAAATTCAGTAAGAAATGTGCAAGGCACGTACAAAGACAACTTTGACGGAAGTTGAGCTCACTTTGTCCCATAGTCTCAAGAAACCTTGAAATCTAATGAAAAATTTGGAAGTACATATAAATAAAAGCAGATAAACATTCCCTATCAATATGCTGTGTTTTTTTTCTCCCCAACAACTTTACCGGGGTTGCAAGAAAGCTTCCCAATCTAAAGTGTACAAGTCGATGAACTTGGACAAATTGTATACAGTCACGCTGTAACCGCCACCATAATCCAAATATTCCCATCACCCCAAAAAGTTCCTTCCTGCCTCTTTACCATCAATTCTCTGCCCAGACTCTGGGCCCCAGGCAGCCACTGAGGTTCTGGCCTTCCTCGAATTTCATAGAAATGAAACCATAGGCTACGGAGAGTTTGCGTCTGACTTATTTCACTTAGCATGATGCTTCTGAAATTCACCCGTGTTGTTGTTGGTGTGTGTCCAAATGTTTATTCCTTTACATCGTTGAGTAGTTTTCTACAATATGGATCTTCAATTATTTATCTACTAGAGGCCCAGTGCATGAAATACGTGTGGGGGGAGGGGCGGGGGAAGGAGGAGGGTCCCTCAGCCCGGCCTGTGCCCTCTCCCAATCCGGGACCGCTCGCTCCTAACCGCTCACCTGCCTGCTTGCTGGCTCCTAACCACTCGCCTGCCTGCCTGCCTGCTCGCTCCTAACCGCTCACCTGCCTGCCTGCCTGCTCGCTCCTAACCACTTGCTTGCCTGCTTGCTGGCTCCTAAGCACTCACCTGCTTGCCTGCCTGCTCGCCTGCCTGTTTGCTGGCTCCTAACCACTCACCTGCCTGCCTGCCTGCTCGCTCCTAACCGCTCGCCTGCCTGCCCAGTGCGTGTCATAGCGACTGGTCGTCCCAGTCATTCCGCTGTAACGGTCGCTTAGGCTTTTATATATACAGATTATTCACCAGCAGGTGGACAGTGGGCTATTTCCAGCATTGAGGCTATTATGAATACGGCTCCTGTGAATATGCATGTACAAGTCTACACGGGGCTGTATGTTTCCATCTCACTTGGGTACATACCTAGAACTGTTGGCCTGTATGTTATATGTACATTTGAGAAACTGCCAAACTGGTTTTTAGTGGCTCCACAATATTACATTCCCTCCAGCAATACAGGGTGGGGCGGATGTAGATTTACAGGAGTAGTGAGTATGAGAAACAGAGTTTATTCCTTTTTTATTTTATTTTTTTGAAGAATTTGGCTGGGGCTTCCATTATCCTTTCTCTCACACCTAGCAGCCTGGGCCAGCCAGCAATCTTTGTTTTATTTTATTTACTTATTTTTGTTTTATTGATTTCAGAGAGGATGGGAGAGGGCGAGATAGAAACACCAATGAGGAGAGAGAATCATGGATCCGCTGCCTCCTGCACGCCCCCTACTGGGGATGGAGCCCACAGCCCGGGCATGTGCCCTGACCGGGAATTGAACCGTGACCTCCTGGCTCATAGGTCCATGCTCAAACCACTGGACCATGCCGGCCGGGCCAGAATTTATTCTTGTATTATTATTTATTAATGTATTACTTTCCATACGAACAACGGTAAACCTTCTTTTGCCCCAGCCTGTAGAGGTGTTCAAGTTGGTCTTCACTAATACTTGGCATCGTAGCAATTTTAGTTTCTTCCACTCTAGAGAGTGCAAAGTCGTAACTTATAGGAACTTACTTTACACATCCCTGGTGGTGTGGTGATGCTGAGCTTATGCAAGTGCTGTGTGTTGTGAAGTGTCTGTTGAAATCATTTGATTATGGCTACGGGGTTGTTTTTCTCACCGAGTTTACAACTCTGTTGTGTATACATTCTGGATACGAGCCCTTTGTTAGATACGGTTTGTAAATATTTCTCCTAGTCTGTCAGGCCTTTTCATTTCCTAGACAATGTCGTTTAAAGAAGAAAAATGTTTAGTTTTGATGAGGTCAAGTATATTTTTCCTCTTACGGTTTTTGCTTTTTGTTAAGAAATCTTTGCCCAACATGACGTCACATAGGTTTTCTGTCTTCTTCTAGAAGTGTTATGTTGTTAACTCTTATGTTTAGAGCAACGATCCATTGCTCGTTGCTTTCTATGTCCAGTGCGAGGTCAGATCAAGGTTCATTACTTACCACACAGGTATCCAGTTGTTCCAGCAAAATCTGCTGAAAAGTCTAGCTTTTCCCCAGTGATTTTTGTCAAAATCAGTTTGTCAAAAAAAAAAAATCAGTCTACCAGACAAGTGTGGGTCTATTTCTTTTCTTCTTTGATAACCCTCACCCGAGGAGTGAGGATATTTTTTCTAAGGAGGTGGGAGTGGGAGAGACAGAAAGAGAGCAGAGAGAAACATCTATGCGAGAGAGGCACATTGATGGATTGACTTCTGCATGTGCCCCAACCAGGGGTGGGGATCGAACCTGCAACCCAGGTAGGTGCCCTTGACTGGGAATCAAGCCTGCGACCCTCAGGTGGGGAGGCCGATGCTCTAACCACTGAGCAATGCCGGCCAGGGCAAGTGTGGGCCTGTTTCTGAACTCTATTCTATTCCATTGATCTGAAAGTTTATCCATATTGTCCTGACCACTGTGGCTTTCTAGAAAGTTCTGACAGCAGGGAGTGTATGTCCTCAACCTTCTTTGAAACCGTTCGAGCCAACAAATCAACTTGTCCATTTTTTCAAACAAGCCTGCTGGAATTTTGACTATCACTCCACCAACTCTATAGGTTCCTCAGACTAGATGTTCACTGATCAATTTTCAAGGTCACTGATTCCATCTTCTGTCAGCTCAAATCTGCTATTAACCACTCTAGTAAATTCTTCATTATAGATAATGTGCTTTTCAACTCAAAATTCATATTTGGGGATAAATATGTATACATATACATATACATATACATATATGATATATAACCTCCTATATAATAAAGAGCTAATGTGCTAATTAGACCAAACAGCAAAATAACCGTCTGGACGAAGCTGGGGCTGCGAGGGCCAAGCCCCTGGTACGAATTTTGTGCACTGGGCCTCTAGTGTATATTATATCTATAATAATAAAAAAGTAATATGCTAATTAGATCAGATGTCTTCCAGATGTCATTCTGGACGTCCATCCTGACGAAGCCAGGGCCGGAGGGAAGCCAGCCTGGGTCCCGGGTGCCTGCTGGTGGCCGGAGGAAGGAAGCCTGGGTCCTGGGTGCCGGAGGGAAGCCGGTGCCGGCAGCTGGGGGAAGGAAGGCCTACTCTTGCACGAATTTTTGTGCATCGGGCCTCTAGTATACATATAACAAATTCTATCTGTTCTTGATAGTCTGTATTTGATGCGTTAGTGCCGCCATATATTTCTTTTATGTTTTGAGCACCATTTCCTTAATTCTTTGAACACATTCATAAATAGCTGCTCTGAAATTTATTCTTCTTCAAGGTGCAGGGTCTTGCCCTCGCAATATCAAAGATCGCTGATTAGCCCAACCAGTGTGGCTCAGTGGTTGAGCATCGACCTTTGAACCAGGGCTGATCAGTGACCTTTAAAAAAAATATATACATACTTTTTAAATTGATTTCAGAGAGGAAGGGAGAGGGAGAGAAGGATAAAAAATCAAAGATGAGCCCAGCCAGCATGGCTCAATGGTTGAGCGTCGACCTATGAACCAGGTGGTTATGATTCAATCCCCAGTCAGGGCACATGCCCAGGTTGTGGGCTCGATCCCCAGTAGGTGGCCGATCAATGGGTCTCTCTCATCATTGATGTTTCTATCTCTCCCCCTCTCTGAAATCAATAAAAATATAAAATAAAATGTTTCACTCATATTAAAAAAAACAAAAACCCAACAACAATAAAAGCATCCAAAAGAAATCTCAAGGAGGTAAATTCAAAACATAGGGTAGCATTGGGACATATTGACAGTCCTCCACTCTACCAACGGAGATATCGAAGGCCTTGCTATTAGGACATATTTAAAGGGGCCCATGCGAGGTCTGTGTGCTTGAGCAATGCCGGCAGGGGAAACGTGTGTAATTCTCCGGCTGTAGGCACACCACAGCCACTTCTGCTTCTGAAACGCGAGCAACTGGGCGAGGTGACGAAGGGGCTGCTTTTAGTTCAAACTTGGCTGTCTATAAACTACTGCTACAAGGGAAATAGCACTTTCACCAAACTGATCTTTTCGACAATCTGGTTGCAAACAAAACTCAGCATAACTGTAACAAAGCTTCACATAGGAGAGGTTATAAGAAGTTGAGCATTGCCCGGCTGGTGTGGCTCAGTGGTTGAGCGTCAACCTATGAACCCGGAGGTCACGGTTCGATTCCCAGTCTGGACACAGGCCCGGGCTGTGGGCTCGCTCCCCAGTAGGGGGCGTGCAGGAGGCAGCCAAGCGATGATTCTCGCTCATCACTGATGTTTCTATTTCTCTCTCCCTCGCCTTTATTCTCTGAAATCAATAAAATATCTTTAAAAAAAATGATATGCACATGCACACAGATGTTTCAAATTAAATATAGCTTCATTTTAAACTTCTCCTTGGGGGCAAAAAGGAGATTTGCTCCTGAGTAGACTCACCTCCGTGTTCTAGAAAGACTCGGACGCATCTTTCCTTTCCTCTGGCTGCTGAGAAGTGGAGCAGGGTCCAGCCATTCGCATCCCGGCCATTCGGAGAATAGCCTTGTTCTAGCATCTTCCGGACGGTGTGGACATCCCCGGCGGCCACCGCAGCCTGGATCTGCAGCTCTTCCTGGAGCTCAGGGTTCCTCCGACAGTGGTGGTGTAACATCCTAGCGGAGTCCACTGCTTACAAAGGATGCATTAGGTCACAGGGGTCAGCCTTTAAGGGGAGGCAGAGAACACGGCGTTTAGGATTCTGGGCTCCTGACAGAGGGGCCATGAAATGTCACGGAATTTCCCTTGGCTAAATCGCGTGCGCCTCAGTGATGCCAGTTCATAATGAACCAAATCTGCTATGACCAAAACAGTGATTTCCGTAGGATGATGAAAGATGGCACAAAGAAAGCCGCCCGGGTGGCATGGCTCAGTGGTTGAGTGTTGACCTATGAACCAGGTCACGGTTCGATTCCCAGTCAGGGCACAGGCCCGAGGAGTGGGCTCGATCCCCGGTAGGGGGCGTGCAGGAGGCAGCCGATCCATGATTCTCTCTGATCACTGATGTTTCCATCTCTCTCCCCCTCTCTCTTCCTCTCTGAGATCAATAAAAGTTTATTTAAAGACATACAGAAACTTAAACTAACATTCTTTTAGGAAGCCACTCCATCTGGGCTAATTTTCAGGAATAGATTAGACACATCTCCTAGTAGGCTTCCATTTCTAAAAATAAAAAAAAAATTATGGGATAAAGTTCTTTAAAGACATTTTGGTCTGTTATGTAGGTTAGACATCTTGGGATGATCTTGTTACCAATAATAAGTTATCGTGTGAAACTTCTTATTATAGCCCTGGCCGGTGTGGCTCAGTTGGTTGAGCGTCATCCCATGCACCAAAGGGTTGCAGGTTCGATTCCCGGTCAGGGCACCAGAAAAAAAACAACTTCTCATTATAGATTGTACAAAGGTAAACTTAAGCCTAACTTAGGCCACATCATCACAGCCTAAGAGCATAATCAAATATCCTATGCTATTTTATACATGGAAAATGGTATTACAAACTATTTTTTTAAATATATATTTTTATTGATTTCAGAGAGGAAGGGAGAGGGAGAGAGAGATTGAAACATCCATGATGAAAGAGAATCATTGATCGGCTGCCTCCTGCACAACCCCTACTTGGGATCGAGCCCACAACACGGGCATGTGCCCTGATTAGAATCAAACCTGGGACCCTTTTGTCCGCAGGCTGACGCTCTATCCACTGAGCCAAATCAGCTAGGGCGGTTATAACAAACTCTTAAGTATCACTACTAAGTAATGTCATTTAAAAATATCGGGCTACTTCTACGGAGAGCTATTTCCTCAGAAAAATTAGGAAATGAGAAATTTCAAGATGATCTGTTTTCTTAATAAACATGATTTCCTCCCCATCTCTTCACTTAATTATTTTTCAACTGACAGTAAAGTCAAGTCTCTCTAGTTTTAGAAAATGTAAAACCAGGAATCCTGTTCAAATAGGTTTTTGCCTACTATTAGCGTTTTTTGTTGTTGATGTTGTTGTTTTGTTAATCCTCACCCTGAGATCTTTTTTTTCCCAATTGATTTTCAGAGAGTGGAAGGGAGGAGGGAAGGGGAGAGAGAGAGAGAGGGAAACATTGATGTGCGAGAGACACATTGACTGGTTGCCTCCCGCATGCGCACAGACTGGGGCCGGGAATCGAACTCGAGACCCTTTTGGCGCGCAGGCCGATGCTCTCACGACTGAGCCACATCGGCCAGGGCTACGATTACGGTTTTAAGAGAAGATGTTGAAGACCATCAGAAAGAATGAACGGGAGCTACGGACGGGTCAAAGCAACCATCTTTAACAGATTCTTTTTTTAATGGGATGATCTACCTTGGCCCTCGAATGAGGGCTACTCTGCAAGAAAAAAGGTCAAACACCATCAAACGAAACCTGGGTTTTCTTGTAGCAAGCGCTGTGTTGAGTTTTCCATGAGCTGATTGGAGGGAGAGGAGTCAAAGCTAAAGGGTCCCCCCCCCCACCCCCAGTACGGGTGACCAGGGACCTCCAGTAGCTTACCTTCCGGAAGAAAGTCCCTTCTCCTGGGAGGGGGCCGCCTAGTAAGCATTGTGCACATACAGCATCCTGGGGCGGGTCTCAGAGTGCGTCCGGATGACGGATCAGCTTCCTTTACCTAAAAACAAATAACAACCGTGGGGAAACTCCGAAAGATGACAGAGGATCACAGTGGCCCGCGGCGTCTACCATTCGATGGACTTACACTTCAGCACCTTACGGAGCAGAGACAGAGGTCAGGCCAAGTCTCGTGAGAAAATGACCTTGAGACCTCCATTCATCTGCCCCCTGGTACAAAATCACTTATTTTTCAGGATTTTTTTTTTTCCCCTAAAGAAGCAGGGTGTTTTTGGAAAAAGAATAAAGAAAATAATAAATCACACATTTGTTCTATTCAGAATATATTTTCAGACTTGCCTAATTTGAATTACTTTTTTTTAAAAAAATCCTCAATCAAGGATATGTTTTATTAATTTGAGAAAGAGAGAGAGAGAAAGGGAGAGAGAGAAACATCAATGTGAGAGGGAAACATGGTTCAGTTGCCTTCCATTTGGCTCTGACTGGGGATTGAACCCACAACCTAGGTACATGCCGTGACCAGAAATCAAACCCGTAACCCTTCGATGCACAAGAGAAAGCTCCAACCAACTGAGCCACCCGGCTGGGCAATTATTTTTGTTGCTGTTGTTGTTAATCCTCACCTGAGGGCATTTTTTCCTCCACTGATTTTCAGAGAGAGTGGAAGGGAGGGGGAAAGACAAGAGAAAGAGAAATATAGATGCACTAGAGACACATGGATTGGCTGCCTCCCACACTCGCCCCAACTGGGACCAGGGATCGAGCCTGCCACTGAGGTATGTGCCCTGGACCGGAACAGAACCTGGGACCCTTCAGTCCTTGGGGATACACTCTAACCACTGAGCCAAACTGGCTAGGGCCTGAATTACTTTTTAGCTGACACCGTTAGTCACTTGTTTTTTCCCAAACAGGACTAAGAAAGATGAGAAAATGTGTGCACTCAATACAGCAGGTGGCCAGAGCCAAAATGGAATCCGTGACAAGGAAAAGGAGATCATGACTTTAAATGCTGGTTCCTCATACGTCCAAAAGGCATCACGTGAGTCACTGTGAAGCTGTCATTCCTTTATGCACACACCCAAGTGAGTAAAAGATTAACAACAGTCTTGCCAGCTTCCTTATATGAACTCTGAAAAAATTCCCTCTGCAACTCAAAGAAAAGGGATCTTGCCTGGCGGGTGTGGCTCAGTGGTTGAGCGTCGACCTATGAACCAGGAGGTCACAGTTCCATTTCCGGTCAGGGCACAGGCCCGGGTTGCAGGCTCCATCCCCAGTAGGGGGTGTGCAGGAGGCAGCCGATCCGTGATTCTCATCATGGATGTTTCTCTCTCTCTGTCCTCCCTTCCTCTCTGAAATCAATGAAAATATATTAAAAAAGAAAAAAAAAAAGAAAAGGCTTTGTGTTGAAAGATGAAGTACCTAAATGGTTTCTCTCAACAAGAAAGAGACACGAACAACAATAACTTGTGATAATCCCAAATGGGCACCTTCCATCAGAGAAGCGAAGGCCTCCTGAGAGCGCCTGCCGTGAACTGGGCCCGCTGTCAGGCCCGGCCACGCCTGTGACCCCGGTTAGCACTCGCTTAGACAGTTCTGCCTACTTAACAGGAACCACATGATTCTGGAAATGGCACATCACTTTCCCCTTTTCTGACAATACCAACCACTATCAATAATAACCGTCGGTTTAAACCCCAAAAGCACTCTGTACATGCAGGGATCTTCCCAGGAATAACACATGGACTCACATCCCATGTACACACGGACACATCCCATGCACACACGGACTCACACCCCATGCACACACGGACACACACCATGCACACATGGACTCACACCCCATGCACACACGAACACACACACAATGCACAAACGGATACACATACTACGCACACACGGACTCACATATCATGCACACACGGACTCACACACAATGCACAAACGGATACACATACCATGCTCACACGGACTCACACCCCATGCACACACGGACACACACACAATGCACAAACGGATACACATACCATGCACACACAGACTCACATACCACGCACACACGGACACACACACCATGCACACACGGACTCACACCCCATGCACACAATGCACACACGGATATACATACCATGCACACACGGACTCACATGCCACGCACACACGGACACACATCCCATGCACACATGGACACACATGCCATACACACACCATGCACACATGGATGCACATCCCATGCACACACGGACACACATCCCATGCACACACAGACTCACATCCCATGCACACACACACCATGCACACACGGACTCACATTCCATGCACACAGGGACTCACACACCATGCACACACGGACACACACATACCATGCACACATGATCCCTGGCAGCTGCAGCCCTTAAATTATGAAGGACGGCGACTTATTACCAAAGGTCCTCACAGTCCAAAGCATCAAACAATGAATTTGATCTGGGTGCTGTTTTGTGGGACCTTGCCCTTAGCAGAGCCCAGCTATGCACGTGTATACAGATGAGGAAAACATAGAGACGATTGAACTTAAAGGGCAAAGGTGCCCATTGCAAACCGCAGAGGAAGTCCAGAGGTGAGAAGGAAAAAAAAAAAGTCTATTTCCTCTTAAGGAGCGCAGGTCTGAAAATCTGACAGCTCATGGAAATCACCCATCGAATAAGGGAACACGGCCCGGGAGGCAGGTGTCTAAATAAGTAAATGTACAATGTGAATTGTTTTAAATCAATGATGACTCAGAATGACTAAAACTCTGAAGGTGCAATCTTCAGAAATTCCATTTCAGGTTTTACAGTTAGAAAAAAAGCCAAAAAAGCATACCAACAAGGAAGACTTCAGAATTACATACCAAATGAGCCACTTCCCTGATGTATCTTATTATTTTTTTAAATATATTTGTATTGATTTTAGAGAGGAAAGGAGAGGGAGAGAGAGACGGAAACATCAATGGTGAGATAGAACCATTGATCAGCTGCCTCCTGCACGTTCCCTACTGGGGATCGAGCCCGTAACCCGGGCATGTGCCCTGACCGGGAATCGAACCGTGACCTCCTGGTTTATAGGTCGACACAACCACTGAACCACACCAGCTGGGCCTGATGTATCTTTTTGTAATATTTTGTTGCTCAATGTTAATACTATGTTTAAATTTGATGAATGCATCTTTTCTACTCTATATGGGGCCAAAAGATAACAATATAGGCCTCCAAGCTTTTATGCTATTGACTTTATTAGAAACTAAATATTTAGAAATTATATGTTACCATCTAGCCTGGCTGGTGTAGCTCAGTGGTTGAGTGTCCGACCTATGAACCAAGAGGTCATGGTTCGATTCCCGGTCAGGGCACATGCCCAGGTAGCAGGCTGGATCGGATCCCAGTGTGTGGTGTGCAGGAGGCAGCCAATCAATAATTCTCTCTCATCACTGATGTTTCTCTCTCTCTCTCCCTCTCCCTTCCTCTCTGAAATCAATAAAAATATATTAAAAAAATAAATACAGAAATACATGTTACCATCTAATTTCCACATGGACGGCCAAGTAAACTTCATTAAAGTTAAAATCAAAACGTCTTTCTTCCTATAATTAAGAAAAAGTCTATATCCATACAATGGAGTGCAGGAAATGAAAAAACGAAACGTATTTCAGACCTGCCTAAAGTTACATAACGGGCACCCAATTGGCCCACATGTCCCCAGTTTCCGTCGGCATACACGATTAGTCACTAATGGCTCTTTGCGTGCGGTTTTCACTGAAAAGTCCACACATTTTCTGATTAACGGACACAAATCAGAGCTGTGCTTTCAGATTTCACACAAGCTGGAAACAAGATAACAGCTTGCTACTCAAAAAAAAAAAAAAAAGTAAGCATTTCTTTGCAGAGTAAACCGAGATACAGGCTGCTAAGGAAATAAAATCAGCAACTCCAAGAATATGGCCTCTGAGAAAACACACACACACAAACCAAGCCACCAGTGGCTCGCAAGTCCTAACAGAGGAGACGGGTACAGAAATACCACCAAGTCCAACATGGCTGAGATGTGTGTGGATGAGTTCTGCTGATGTGATCGAAAGACTGGAACCCCAACCGAGTAGAAGGAGTGTGATATCTCACTCAACATCGCATAGCGTTTATGTTCCCAAACAAGCAAGGTGTGTTCATATTTCCACCCCACTCCTGGGCCTCCATGTAACACAAGGATTCATTTATTCATTTTCATTCCTCCCCTGAGAATATTTTTTTCCCATTCATTTTTAGAGAGACGGAAAGGGAGGGAGGAAAAGGGGGGGAGAGAAAGAGAGAGAGAGACATCAATGTGAGAGAGAATGATGGATCGACTGCCTCCTGCACGCCCCCTACTGGGGGTCGAGCCCGAAATCCGGGCACGAGCCCTGACCGAGAATCGAACCCGTGACCTCCTGGTTCCTAGTTCAAAAACAAAAGAATATGCAAACCCTCAGAGCCCCTTAAAAGGATCTCTAGCTAGGTCTTGGCAATTGGAAGAATCAAGAAAGACATTCCTTTTCGTGGGTGGCAGAAAGTCTAGACCAGGGGTGGGCAAACTTTTTGACTCGAGGGCCACAATGGGTTCTTAAACTGGACCGGAGGGCCAGAACAAAAGCATGGATGGAGTGTTTGTGTGAACTAATATAAATTCAAAGTAAACATCATTACATAAAAGGGTCCGGTCTTTTTTTTTTTTAGTTTTATTCATTTCAAACGGGCCGTAGTTTGCCCACGGCTGCTCTAGATGCTCAACCATGAAGCCACACCAGCCTGGCTAGAATTAGGTCTAAAGCGGGGTAAAAAATATTTAACAGGGAAGACCTGAATAGAAAACACATCATTCATTTTTACCTTAAAAACATACTTCAAATATTTTCAGAAGTCCTCATTATTAGACATCTCTCTGGTGATTCGCACACTGAAATAATCAAAACGGCCTTGAACTTCACAGACTTGCGCCTGGCTTTCACTGAAACGAAGCGGATCCTATGTACACTCAGAAAGGCTGCCCTAAATGTTCACACGGGACAGTCCCTGGTAGACACTGACTCGAAATCCCATTCTGTACCGTGCACTCCCCCGTGGGGTCTGCCTCCAGGTCTCAAGAACATGCAAGCCAGGCCGGGGCTGGTGTGGCTCAGTGGCTAGAGAGTGTTGGCCTGTGGACTGAAGGGTCCGGGTTCGATTCCGGTCAAGGGCGTGTACCTTGGTTGCAGGCTTGATCACGGGCCCTGCTCAGGGCAACCAATCGATGTCTCTCTCTCATATAGATGTTTCTCTCCCCCCCTCCCTTCTGTTCTCTCTAAAAACCAATGGGAAAATATCCTCGGGTGAGGATTAACAACAACAACAACAACAAAAGGGTATGGAAACCGTCAGAGCCCCTTAAAAGTGTCTCTAGCTATGTCTTGGCAGTGGGGAGACTCAAGACAGACATTCCTTTCTTTTTGTGGAAGGCAGAGAGTCCAGTGGAACGGAGTAAATCAGAGATTTCCTGAGGACTTCTGCTATTTTAAGTGCTTCGCGGTACCTACAACTCCCTGAGCAGTCTTGAGATATTAAAATTACTCTGAGATTAACAAGCCACTTTAGATTCCCGTGACTGGATGTTAGAAGAGTCATTCACTTGGCTAATTTCTGAATTGACGCTTGTCTGATTTCCCTGGCCATACCCCCTTCTTTAGCAACTACACGAATGTCCTAAACATTTAAGAGCCACCAACAAAATCCAGCAGCACAAATGTGACGCCTGGATTAGATGCTTACATTTCTTTCCTTTTTTTTTCTTCTCTTTTTTGTTTTGTTTTGTTAATCCTCCAAGGATAAATATCCGAGGATATTTTTCTATTGATTTTTAGAGAGCGTGGAAGGGAGCGGGAGAGACAGAGAGAGAAACATTGATGTGAGAGAGACGCATCCATTGGTTGCCTCCCGCAGGCACCCCGACCAGGGCCGGGGATTGAGCCTGCAACCCAGGTAAGTGCCCTTAACCGGAATCGAACCCGGGACCCTTCAGTCCTTAGGCCGACACTCTGTCCACTGAGCCAAACCGGCCAGGGCTAGATGCTTACATTTCAATCTAACAAATTACCCGTGAGGGTTTTGAATGGAGAAATCTCATTTATGAAGAGGGCAAAGAGAAAGCCAAAACATTCCTTTGTTTTAAAATTCTTGAATGTCAAATGATAGCGAGCTAGTATGGAAAGTTTTATGAGTTCTAGAAAACCGGAGGTGTAACCAGTATTATTTTTACCTTTTTATAACAGCTTCAGAGCCCATCCACACGTGTCCCACAGAAACACAAAGAAGCCTGAATCGTTCCCGATACATCAGACCTTCAGGGGCGCATTTTGTTTTCCTACAATCTACACCGTTAAGGTACACCGACTCCCTTTTTACTAGGGAAAAACTCACATTATTTTCCAAAACTCATACATTTCCAGCCATCACCTTCCTCGACCAAACCCTGGTGGGTTAGGGAATGCTGAGGATTTTTATTCTGGTGGAGCTAGAAGGACGGCGATAGGAAGGAATCGGGAGGAAGCAGAAAACTGCTGTTTAATTAAAAAAACAAAAAAAAAGTAGAGCCATTCAGAATGAACAAGCAATCGAGGAAAATTCCTAGGAGAGGGAGGGGTGGGGGAGGGCTACAGAAAACTCTCTGAATCTCAGAGCAAGGAAAATGGTACCAGTGGTACCGTCACCAAAAGATAATGTAACACACAGAAACACCAGCCGGAGAGAAAGGGTGGGAAAGACGATGAGGGAGTGGAAAAGTTATGAAAATGCCCAGGAGCAGGGCAAAAAGAGCAGCGTTTCTGGGTTTGTTTGTTTTTTGTGTTTTTTTTTTGCGGTGAAAAGGGGGAGGGGGGTTCAGGAACCAGTTGCACCCCCCCAGGGAACCACCCTGAAACCAGAGCTATTGCCTAATGAGACAGGAGCCCGAAGATCAACAATGGGGGAGGGCAGGGGCGGGCTGGCTGGTTACCTGCACGGAGGATGCTACAGCTAGAAGCTCTCGGCTACTTCCCAGGTGGGTGGGCAGGCCTCCTCTTGCTTTCCAGGCTCCGGGAGCCAAACACCAAACCTGGAAATCAGAAACCAGGGAGAGAGGTGAGGCGCGGTGCCCCAGGGGCCAGGAGCAGGGAGGTGGGGGGGTGGGGCTTGGAGGAAGGGGAGCAGAGTAAGAGAGAGAGAGAGAGAGAGAGGGAGGTTGGTTCAGGGCAGGTAGGAAGATGCAGTGATTTTTTCCCCCTCCCTCCCTCCCAGCCGCCCCCTTCGCTTCAAGGGAAGGTAACTGACTTTACCTGTCTCTTCAGCTGCTGCGGCGCTTCCTCCTCTCAGCCTCCTCCACACTCACCAACTTCTCCATTGAAGAAATGCCTCGGGCAGGGCCGGACACGGGGGTTCCGGAGCCTCCTCCGAGCCTCCCGGCCCCAGCCCGGCGAGCATCCA